GAATAAATTTTATTGAACTAATATTCTAAATCAGGTTGAAATGAATATCTCCTTAAAGAGGAGATTAATTAGGAAGAAACAATAGCTAGAATATTTATAAATATACAACTATTTTATTTTATTTCTATAAAATGAAGTCGAATTAGAAACGAACGAATCGATAGCTAATTTTACTTTTTTTTTAACAAATGAATAAATTTTATACAACTAATATTCTAAATCAAATTGAAATGAATATCTCCTTAAAGAGGAGATTAATTGGGAAGAAATAATAGCTAGAATATTTATAAATAGGATTATTCGTCTCACTATAGATATCTATTTTCCTAGAGGTATATAAAACTTATGCTAGAAATATATCGCCATATTTTTTAATATTTATTAATAAAGTCTATCAGTAATTTATTTATGTAATACGATATTGGAACGCGAAATTATAATTACCAATAATACCGATATTAAATCGTAAAGCTGATATCGAGATATTAAAATATTTGCGAAGCAGCATTTTTCGTCTCTCTTGGCCGTCGTAAACGGCAGTAACTTTGTTTAGAAAAACATCTCAAATGAAACAGATGGTCCGTGAACCGAGGCAATTAGCGTAAGCCAACAAAACGCGGTAGCGCAAGTAATTTACCGCAAAGAAGTACTTACAGGTTTTTGTTTTCGTTTAGCTTCTTTGCTCTCTGCGTGAAAGAGACCTGGTATTTATTAAGCCAAATTTTCATAGCGCGCTGCGCCGCCACGAGGGAAGATGCAACGCGATCGATACAGTTCAATCGTAACCTGGTACCAGCAACTTTCTTCTCGCGTGCGTAAGGCAGTTCGGCTTATTTCGCTTTCTTTAACGCGCGCCGGACAGAAGTGTCGCTCGACAAATGCGACGTTTGCACCAATAACGACAGCTGTGGAATTTCAATTAACTCTATAAATATTTCAAGCACGTTTCACTTCGTATACAGGGTGTCTCACGCTTTCTTTTACCTATCCGTGAATTCTGCGGCGGATTCCGCGATACGTTTTGTCCTTACTCTCTAAAAATCAATCAGTGGATTAGCACTGAAAAGAGCCACTGTTTTCTCTCTAAAAGTCAATCAGTGGATTATCACTGAAAACAGTGAATAGTCACTGGTTTAACCCGTCCAAATAATAGTTGGCGTTTTGCAAAATAGGCATCTACGGATGCTGCGACCTCGTCGTTCGATGAAAATTTCTGTCCTCCGAGCCAAACTTTGATTTTAGGAAACAGAAAAGAGTTACTGGGGGCTAGATCTGGTGAATACGAGGGGTGGTCAATCAGTTCGACCTGCAAATTCATGAATTTTGGCCACGATATTCGATTTTTCCATTTTTACGAAAATACTAACCTTTACTGACACAAACGACTCTCGTACAACAGCTGACGGTCCAAAATGACTGAAATTTTCAGAGGTATCCTTCAAAGCATGTACAGTCGCAGTACTGACGTGGCGACGACAAATAATGCAATCTTCATGTTGAGGCTCGAAACTTTTCAACCCGCCCTCGTACATCCTGCTCGGACCGCACTGGCTTTATTGTTTTAGATTGAATCATTTTCCGATTACAAGTGTAATGATCTATTTGAAGGAGGAACTTTTCGTGAATTTCAGAAACGCAAGCGGCTTATGCGTTACGTTATTCGATTAAATTGACGAAATTTCAGTTAGCAGCTCAGTCGCGGATTCGCAATTGAATGTTAAAAGTTCTGAAGAGATCGTCTTCAAGTTAATCAAGAGATACGTGACTGAAAGGAAACGCGAGAAAATATATCGCGTGACATCCTGTATACTCCGTGACTTATTCGTCCTCGATTTTGCGTCTCTCTCTTGCCACGCACGTTGCTGACGAATCGCGAGAATCCTCGTTAAACCGTTGTACAACGCGTGTAGCGATGTTGTCGCGTGTCCTAAACCGAGCATTGGCCGCGATTTAAATGGACACTGAATTAATTATTATCGCGGACACTCGGAAATATTATACTTGCCGGTCAAGTCATCGGCAATGAGGCGATGTTGGATTTATCGGTTGGCAGCTGTTTTCTGAAGCGACAAAAACTATTTTCTTATTTTATGCTGCTTACTCACAAAGCCGATGAAACATCAGCAACAGTTTACGGAACGGAATCTGTTTATTTACATTTAGCTGTATCATCCAAGCGTTGCTCGGGCAGGCAACGCCATTACTCACGTCTTACAAAAGACGAGATTTAATATTTATGTTCATCGCAACGAAAATTATTGAATATTAAATTTATCATTTATATAATTATAACGAAAATTTTTGTAGTATAAAAATTCGAGCTTAGGCCAAAAGACAAAACCCTGGAAATAACATTTCACGTTTAGGGCCACTTTCACAAACGTCAGTTAACTGTTAACTTAGTTGATTCTCTGTGACGAAAATTTTTTTAATATAAAAATTCGAGTTTAGGTCAAAAGACAAAACTCTGGAAATTTAAGAGCAGTTTCAC